CCCGTCCCCCGGGCTCGCCCGCCTGCCGCCGCGGGTCCACAGGGGCCGTTTCGTCTGTGTGCCCGTTTTCGCTGTTGGGAGCCCCGCTCCTGCCTGTTACCTGCGGTGCGCCCAGGCAGTCGGGCAGCAAGACTCGGTCGATCCTCCTCCTCCCTTCCAACCCCCGCGTCCCTCCGTCGCTCGACGGCGCCCCTGTAATGCAGCTTCAAGGAGTTGAGATGCAGCCCTCGCATTCATTTGACCCTTCCTTTGCCCTCAACCAAACGGCCCGCACGCATTCATCCACGCAGCTATTTTCGACGCTCCCTTTGCACGACTCCTCCTTGCTTCAAGCACCCCTCCACTTTGCTGTCCACCCCCTCCCCTGCCAAACAGGCCCAACAGCAGGCCATCACCACCAAGTGGCTCCAACGCCTCGGAAAGGAGGCTGTCACGCCGGTCCGCCTCAGCTCCTGCTCGGCCATCAAGTCGTGCACGCGCGGCAACCCCGGCTCTGTATGTGCAAACGCCTACTACCGCTGCAAGGACGGCACCCTGAACCCCGGCCAGCGCCTTTCTCACTGCAACCCACAGCCGAGCTGCACGATCAAGTGCCAGTGCTGCGCAAACCCCGGGGCGACCAACTGCGTGAACACGTGCGCGGCTGCACCAGTGTCTAAACAGTGCCCTTTCTAGATCGGAACTGATGTGTGAGCGCGGCGCAGTGGTCGGTAGCGCGGCGCTGTGCGAGCCGGTGTTGAAAATGGCTGCATGGCTGGGTTAAGGGGTGCCTCAGACGGCTGGGGCCTGCAGGTTTGATTGTTTGCTTGCGGGTGCACAGCCCATGATTCGCGCTGCGCGCCTTTGATGCCGCTGTGCACACATGTGGTTGCACCATCTGAGGCTGCAGGCCTGGCGCTGCACGCCGGGGCTTCCCGGCCTGCCGGCCGGCATCGCCTGCAGTGTGCAAGTGATGGGGCTGGGCAGCAACCGCACCACAGCAGCGACGCAGCCTTTGTCAAGTTCTGTTCAGACTGCGAGGCTTCTGCATTTTTTACGAAATTGCATGCGCAAGGTGTCCCGATTTGCATAAAAACAGGCTATTGCAGCACACAGCAATTACGCGAACATCTTGCTGCTGACCGCTCCCCTTTGGGATGTGGTGGCGGCAAGGGCGCGGGGACATTGAGTTCACGCACGCAAAAAGTTCGTCTCTTTTCAATTAGGCTCACTCTGCAGGCAAATGAGGTTTGAACGAGCTTTGTGGGCACACGCCTCCTCCCTCTGGGCGCCCCCCACCTTGCCTGCCGTCCCGAGCTGGCGACTACTCGCCCAGCCCACCAGTAGTAAAGTGAGGGGCGGCGTTTTCACATCCCTGCCTGTCTCTGCACGCACGCAAGTGCGTGCACCATACTTTTGATGGAGGGTGGCAGCTTCCGCCGCCTGCGGCGGGCGCATCATGACGACTTGTCATGCCGGCGCGATGCCCGCTTTTTGGCGAAACGCAACGCTGTGGCTGTGCAGGTGGCAGGGACGGCGCAACGCGAACTTGCCTCTGCAGGCCTCCCGGAGTTTGTGCCAACCAAATGAGGACCTGCGCCACCTCACGTGCTGCCTCTGCCGTTCTTGTGCACAGCTTACATCGCAAGGCACACAATGCTGGGTGCGACAGACAGGGGCCACCTTCCCCGCAACTGGATGCATTGTGCGTACAGAAGTCATGCAAGTTCGCATGTTCATCTGTACACTGCCGTGCTGCTTGGACAAACCCCGGGCTGCCTGGCCAAACCCACCGACCCCTCCTTACACTATTATTTTTTTGAGCAGGACATGGCGATCATGTCGCCCTTGGTGATCTGCTGTCTGCATGCAAGTCTCACGCAGAGGCCACGCTTAGTGGCCTTTCCTGTGTGATCCTTGCCTCTCCCGTGCATGCGTGGTGCGCCTTGCGCGCTGGCTGCTACAGACATTAGCTCCGACGATACTCCTCCATAGCACCTGAAATAACTCACATCTGGGGTTTGAGCCGGCGCAAACTAACACGCCCACAGGCACATGGTTCAGCAGCTGCGGTTGGCCACGCAGACCCAAGCATCGCCACTATCTCACGCTTCCATAAGGGATCAAGTCCCCACGGCTGTGACGTTGCGACGCCTTCCAATCAACAGCGCTCCTGTGGCCCAGCTCAAATTGCCAAGCCTCCAGTAGCGATCTACCAGCGCAGCGGCTGTACTTCATCAAAGTCAGGAACGTGTACGATATCCAAAGTATGCCCAAAGTCACAGAGCTGTCAAGCTGGGGGTCAACCATAACAGAGGAATTGCTGAGGCGCCCCACATCGGCGCAGCTGAAGCTGCAACGAAGTGCGAGGGACTTACTCGTCTTGCCATCGCCTGCAAGCTAGCAGGGCAATTATGATGGCAAGACTAGCAAGTGCTGGTCCTATCGGTGCTTCAGAGCCGCCTGACACACTAATGTAATACACAAGCTGCCCAGCACCAGTGGCCTGTGCGTACGTAGTCGATACCAAGGGGCTCTTGAAACATCGTGCAGCCTCGCATTGCACCACATGCAGTGCTCTTCAGTTGGCCTGGTAGCTCTGGGGCGTGTGCGAGCCAGTCGCCAATCCGCCATCTGCCTATAGAGGGCACAGAGCAGGCGGTGGTGCCTTGACTCATGCAGATAGCGACAGGGCCCGAATCAAGGATTTAGAGCAGCCCCAATTGCGCACGGGCTGGGAGGATCCTTGCTGGGAACGCATAAATGCACACCAAGACAGCGGGCACTGGAATCAGAGTGAATGGGGCTGAGCATGCGAGGCAAGGATGGCGTGGTGTCCCAGCAGGTGCCCAGGCAGGGTCACACCCTGCAGGTCAGATGTAAGCAGGTCACACATGGGGCAGCAGACAAGCAGTACACATGACGGCACCCCGGGCGCCCGCGTTAGGACATGCATGTTATACATAGGTTGTAAGAATCCGGATGTGAGAATTAGTAGAGGGACATTAACCTACACCTGATGTGCCTGCGTGCTTGGAGAGCGCACAGTGCGACAGGAGCGGGGTCAGGAGTGACAAGCGCCAAGAGGAACCCGCCGACCAGCGGCACGAGCTAGTGTGACCCGGCCTTGCAGAGGTCGTGAATATCATTCGTTCAAAAGTCCTCACAGAACTCATACACCGACCGTTCCCTCGACAAGTTGCGCCTGCTTGCCGCACTCACTCGCGCCATTTCAGGACTCTACTTCGCCAGCCTGTAAGATAAGGTGGCGCCTAAATCAAAGCTCAACCCTTCACACTCACCACGCTTACTGAAAGATCGGTCTGGAAGGCAGCGCTCGACGCACCGCTGATAGCCCCTATCCAGCTCAATACAGCTCTCGCGAAGTCGCTTTTGGAGGTGAATGCTACGAGCATTAGTTTGGGGCTCCTTGCAGCAGTATGGGGCCATGGCGGCACAGTGCACTCCGCGACACACACATGGCAGGCTTGTGCTCAGCTCGCTGGGGGATGCAGGCATGGCTTGCATCGGGCACGGCTGGCCCTGTTGTGAAAAGCGCATCATAGGTGGCTGTGAGTTGCACCTGTTCATCGCTGCTTCGCTCACAAGGCTCCTTTCCTATGCATCCTGGTGCAGACCGGCTGGCGCGACGGCGGCAGTGACCGCTTTGACCAACCACACCCGCAGCAGTTCCATCAGCAACAAAAGCAGCAGCAACAACAGCAGCAGCAGCAGTAGTACCCTCACCAGCAGCATCAGCTGCACTAGCAGCTTGCCTCACAAGCCATGGTCAGCGTCAACGCCGTTGCCTCCGGCTGCGCTCATCCCGCTGACGCGGCTGGCGGCGCTGCCGAGGCATCCCCCGTCAAGGCAGCAGTGCCTTTCGACGCGTTGTGCAATGACGGCCGCGCGGTCACCTCCAAAAACTGGCTGTGCAAGCTTTGGCGCTACACCATTGTGCCCACCAAGGAGCTTTACCTGCCATTCATGTTTAGCGGCTTGCCCACCAACTACCTCATGGTGAGGCCTCAAACAGACATGCATGCGTGCTTTGCTCGTTGAGCCACATGACTGGGGCCGACCATGGCTGATGTACAAAACAATCTGCGTGCATGTGCATGCTGGGCGTGTAGATGGGTGCGCTGATGTGTGTTCGTTCTTGTGCATGATGTGGTCGCCTTCATACCCTGTGCACCTCGCTCACCACGTCTCCCGTTCTTCCTCGTGTCTTATTCAAACCCCCCATTAGCTGACATACCGCACCTTCAACCGGGACTTTGGCCTGCCCAACTGCAACGACGACTACCTGGCACCCCTGCTGAGGGACGAGCTCATGCCGGTGGGTCCTGGGGCGGGGGTGGCACCACCAGCAATGGCGGCAGCAGCAGCACCAGCACCAGCACCAGCACCAGCACCAGCAGCAACGGCAACCGGTAATAGCAGCAGCAACAGCAGCAGCAGCAGCAGCAGCAGCAGCAGCAGCAGCAGCAGCAGCAGCAGCAGCAGCAGCAGCAGCAGCAGTAGCAGTAGCAGTAGCAGCAGCAGCGAAGGCACGATGGGCGGCAGCAACACGTTGCAGCTGCACATCGAGGTGGTGCCAGCTGCTCGTTGCCCAGGTATTCGGAAGGTGCCGTCAGGAGTTGCCACCCTTGGCTCGCGCGGCTCAGCCTTGCATGTTTATGGCACTCACGCTCTCGCCGCAGGTGCGCGGCAAGCAGCACCGGGAGCGCGACCCCGAGTTGTGGTACCGCAACCGCTGCCTCGACATCAAGTACCTCGGGGTGCCGGGTGAGTGAGATGCAGCGGCACCCGTCCCAAGTGGCACGAGCACTGACGGCGGACAGATTCAAGCCAGACGAGCTTGTGGCACGCGGATGGCAGTCAGCAGTGGCCCTTGAAGATGGGGCGCGCCTCGACCACCCCAGCTCCCAGAGGTGACGCATGTTTGCTGCTCCCAACTTTGAAACCTGCAAACAGGCATCGTCAACTTCATCGACGCCCGCACCCAGTGGATCGACGACGGCATGACTAAGGCCCTGGACGACGGCATCAAGCAGGTCGTCATCATCGCCGCGGGTTACGACACACGCGCGTACCGCCTGGCCCGCCCCGGGGTGAAGTTCTTCGAGCTGGACCTGCCCCATGCCAGCGACAAGAAGAAGGAGCTCGTGGAGAAGCTGCTTCCCCAGGACAAGGTACAATGGCGCCCTCACCCCATACCGCTCTGTACTTTTGATTGCGTGTGTACCTTGGAGCCGCGCCGCCCACACATCAATGAATCGCAGCTGCTGGGAGTGGTTTGCCTGGGTGAAATACGACAGGCTTCACGCTCCCCTCATCTTGGAACCACGCACCATCATCCCCATAGTACTCCTGGCCCGAGTTCATCGGCGCAGACCTGTCCAAGGTTTCCCTGTCTGACGCCCTCGCCACCAGCAGCTTTGACCCCACCAAGAAGACGTTCTTCAGCATAGAGGTGCGGTCTGGCCCCAGATAGCGCCCCACCAACGCAAGATGTGAAGTGGTTCGTGCTCACATGCACCTGACACCCTGCCACCAAATCAAAACAAGGTGCCCACCGTGCGGTGGTGTCTCTTGTTCTCCCCATCACTTGAAAACCTCACGACGACCGTCGCGACCTCAAATGGCAGGGTCTGGTGTACTACCTTCCTCCCCTGGCCTTCAGGTCGCTGTTGCAGTCCATCAGCGATGCGGCGGTGGTGGGCAGCCGCGTCTTCTTTGACTTCATCAACCTCTCAACAATGGCCGGTGAGTTCACCTTTTTGGGGGCTTGCTTGCAACAGGAACTGCACAGGGATTGTGAGAAAAGTGATCCTCGCTGGTCATCAAGCCCATTGCTGGTCACAGTGGCCCGCCGCAGCGCCCCAACCTCTCCTTATTGTGTTTGCTGATTCAGTTCCCGCCCGTCCCAAAACCCAGGCGAGGTTTTCCACCCGGGCTTTGAGACGCTGATGGTCTCGGTCTGGAACAAGGGCGAGTACTTCTACAGCGGCGTCGACGAGAAGGAGGAGGTGCGGCGCAGGACTTGATGCTGTTGCCGCTGCACCCTGCGGCATAGCCCAACCTGCCTGGACAGCTGCTGATTTTGGGGCCAGCGAGCTTCTGCCGCCATGCCCGCCCCGCCGCCAAGCCTGTGGTGACATACTGGCTTCTGACCCTGTAGAGGTCTCCTTGCCTGTGGTGACTTCTGACCCTGAGGAAGCCTCCTTGCCCCCTGCCTCCTCCGCGCAGAGCGTGCGCGAGCTGCTGCGCCAGTTTGGCTTCCGCATGGACGAGGTGGTGTACGCCCCCCAGATGGCGGCGCGCTACCTCCCACACCTGCCCTGGAAGGAGCAGCCGTGAGTGGCGTGCCTGCGTGGCAAAGCGTTTGGGCTGGGGCTGCTCGTTGCGTGGGGCTCGTGTCACCCCGGCTGTGGCGGTCAGCAGGCCCTGTGATGTATGAATGACAGACAGCAACATTGCAGCATTCTTGAGTTTTACCGGTCGCTATGACGACAATTGCAATCCTGCCAGCTGTGCTTGGGGATGCCCTGGACGTCTTGCACCTCACCCCATCGCCAACTTGCCTGTTGCGCTCCCAGGAACCCCCTGCCCCGCTACTTCTCGTACACATCCGGGGAGAAGGTGCTGCCCAACAAGTTTGGCTGAGTTGCGCAAAAGCAGGTCACTGACATGAGATGTTAGCGATATGGACATATGACAAGGCTGCGTGACGCGCAACACGGTTCAGACTTGCCATATTTCCTGCATGGGTGCACTTACTGTGACAGGAGCCAAGCCCCATTCAAGGGCACAAACCAGGTAGACTGTGTTGAAGGCTGATTTATTTGACGAGGATAGTCCTGCAAATGCATGGCGGCCTGTTTTGGTCGGCGTTGTGGCACAGTTTTGTAGTTGTGTTTGCGAGCACCGGTCAAGGGTTTTGATGGAAGGGATTCTTTCTGAGTCTACGCCGTACTTAAGAGACCCCCATCGTGATCGCGTCACGTCAACGCATTGCGGGGCGCTGGTCAGACATCGCATCGCCATAGCACGCAAATTCTCAGGCATGGGCCACTCATGCTGCGTATTTCCTTGAGGCACCCTATACAGAGTGCCTCCTCCCCTCCCCAGCTAAAAACTGCACGTTTGTAACAACCACTTCTTTTCCACATCGCCACATCTATCCAGCAGTTGTTAGAAAGGTAAGGTTTGCCAATTAAATGTGCATGGCGCTGTGTGCAAAGCAGGGCAAGGGACAGCAGCAGCTCTCAAAACATGAAAGAAAGAATGGGCAAAGTGCAGCATTGCAGCAGCACTGGCAAAGGAAGTGTGGGGTGGGCTGCGCTGGGGTTGTGCTGTAATTTCAAGCACGCAGGATGCACAATGCCAGCAGCCTGGGAGGCAACACGTGCTCCTCCAACGACACCAAAAGGGTCGCATGCACGGGGCCACAGGAAAGTTCCAGCCTGCGCTGACAAAAGCACAACGGACAACCAAGCATGCGCACGTGTGGAACCACTCAGTCACGGTACTGCATCCGCCATGCAGCCAGCGAGGGTGCCAGCCCCACAATCACACTGCCTTATAGTTGTAAGTCATCTTGCGAAGCTTTTCAATCTCCTTACCCGTGCTGGCGACACTGTGCATCACAAACCAGCACAGTGCCACGTAAGCCAACGGCGCAAGCGGCAGCCAAAGCAGATCCCAGTGGGCGCCGTCCTCGGGTCCATACTTCGCAATGCTGCGCCGCAGCGCCGCACACCAATACGCGGCGCCCGCGGCGGCCCCAAGCGCCCCCGCCGCCAGGGCGCCCCGCGCCGCACCAGCCACAGGGAGGCAGCCCCGCTCGCGCTCGCCGGGGCGTGGCAGACGCAGCAGCAGGCCGACGGCGGCGGCGGCGAGCGCGGTAGCTTGGATCAAGAACGCGCCCACGACGCCGCTGCTGGTGACTACGGTTCTTAGCTCCCCGGTGTACCTGACCTCCCAGGGGCGCGCCGCCTGCTCGTTCGCAGCATACAGGAAAAACGCTGCGATCAGTGCTGCGCCGGCGCCGAAAATCGTGCGGAACGTACGCGTCTGCGACAGCTGCATATCCTCGAACTCGCGGATAATCCGATACTGCTCGTTCTCGTCGAGGGGTTCCTGATGGGACAGCATGGCGTCCAGGGGCTCAGCATGGGCGATGTCGGCGCCGCGCTGGCGCTGCGCCATCTGGTCGATCGCTGCGCCGCGTAGGGAGAAGTTTGAGAAATCTGAAAAGAAATTCAGAAGGTGCTTTTACTTGGGGTAGGGAACCTGACTACTGTGGCTGGCGGGAGCTCACAGACTGTGAGTCGCAGATCTATTGGCAGCGGCGGATCGCCATGGGGTATGGCGAATAAAACTCGGGAGTTCTCTGAGATAGAGAATCTTGCGGGATCATTGACCGTGCAATAACAGTTCTGCGTGCCAGGTCACCCAACGCAAAGAACGCAAGCATGCAGGCCGTGTGCAATCGCAGTAGCCTGGCTTCCGCAAGGTCGCACTGTTCACCATCAACATGCGCGTTGCATCCCGTTTCGAGACTTTGCGTGGTCCTGTGCAAGGCGGCGCACCCGCAAGCCGGTGACCCCCACGATGTCGCAGCGGCTGCCAGCGGTCCCTCGGGGCTTGACCGGCGCTCAGTGCTCGTGGCACTTGGGGCCGGCGCGCTCGCCCTACAGCCAAGGCCCGCAATGGCTGCCGAGGACGACGCCTCAGCGGCCTACCTGGGCGCCACCGGGCCGGCTGAAGGGGTGGCTGAGCTCGCAGCCACGCCCGGGCCTGGGAGTCCAATCACCAAGGTATCGTCACACAGGCCAGGGCCTGTAAATGCCAGCCTGAAAATCACACTATGCTGTGCACGCGTCCGCGATGCGCCATGCGCCCGGATCGCGCGCGCAGCACCCCTGACCTCAGAGCTGCTGGCGTTGCGTCACTGCTCCACTCCAGGTGTTCGTTGTCGGCGCCACCGGTCAGACTGGGCGCCGGGTGGTCCAGGAGCTCAGGGCAAACGGCTTCCAGGTGGGGGGAGCTGCGGTGGCTCAGGGCGGTGCGCCAGGCGGCAGTGGGCCGCGGCACCATGGCTGTACCAGCGGCAGGCGCCCGGAGCTACAGCCAAGGTCCCCGCGGCCTGCAGACGCATGTGCGCTGGGCCCGGCGTTCTGCACCTCCGCAGAGGCTTCGTAGCGCCCGCCCCGCCTGCTTGTCACGCACAGCTGCCACCGGGGCTGTTGACCCCGCCGGCTCTCCCAACCCCTACTGTCGTCGCGGCTGTCGCGCCAGGTGCGCGCTGGTGTGCGCGATGTGCGCAAGGCCCAGGGCCTGGGCTTCGCCCTGGACCCCTCTGGCGTTGAGCTGGTGACATGTGACGTCGTCAAGCAGACAGCAGAGTGAACGGGGTTGACGCCCGCAGCTGCAACCAGGCTGTTTGTGGAAGCTTTTGGGTGCTGCTGCTGTCGGCAGCCGCTGCGGGCGCCGGCGCCGCTGCCTGCGCCTCCACCGCTGCTGCCGCTGTTCCTGTGCGGTGCGTGCAGCTGGACCGAAGGCTACTGTCTCACCAGGCCTTCAGCGGCCCGCCCCATATGTGGGTTCATGCTGCGCCGCCCGTTCCGTGCCCTGGGATTGCCCGTGCGCTGACCCGCCCCTGAACAATACCCTTCCCCCCCCCTCCCCCTGGCGGACCGCCCGCCAGACAGCTGGCCGCCGCCATCGGGGACGCGCAGGCCGTCATATGCTGCACCGGCTACACGGGGTTCAACCCTGCTGGGTTTGGGCAGGTCGATGAGAAGGTCGGCGCTCACGCTCGCTGGAGCTCAGGGCCGTGACGTCAGGCTGTCCCGCCGGTTTGCCGACACACTCCCTGCAATGCCTTCGCCACGCTGCGCACGGGCGGTCCTGTGCAGTTCTTGGGATGCCTCAATGGCTTGGCCCCTCTTGTGCCCCTCTTGTGGCGCCTCAACCACCTGAGACGTGCTCTGCGCTCCACGCCCTTTGCCCAATCCCGTAGGGCACCATCAACCTGGTCAATGCTGCCAAGCGCACCGGGGTGAAGCGCATGGTGCTCCTGTCATCGCTGCTCACCAATGCCCCGGCGGTGCGCCCCAGCTGCCTTGGATCCTTAAGCACTTGCCTTTTCCCGCCACTCGCTCCGGCGTCAAACTGGAATGATTGTGTGCACCTGGGACCCCCGCCTGCAAAACGGTGCCGCTCGACCGCCTGCCCAGCCCCCGCAACCTTGATCACCCAGCTCCCCTCCTTGTTAGCAGCGCCGCCTTGGCGTGCGCTCGCCCCTTCCTACGTCCGCCCTCCTTCACCGCCTCCCCCAACTGTTCAATTTGCCGCCTTCCCGCCTGACAGCACCGCCCCCTGCACCCTTGCTGCTGCCGCGCCTGCCCCTCCCTCCACCACTTCTTCAGGTCGGCCAGGCTGACAACCCAAACTACAAGTTCCTCAACATATTTGGGGGCGTGCTGGACCACAAGCTCGTGGGCGAGAAGTACCTGCGCGCCTCGGGGCTGACGTGGACAGTGGTGCGGCCTGGGGGCCTCAGCAACGAGCCGGCGGGCACGGTGCGTCCCGCGGTCGCGGTGCGATCGGGTGTAGGGGAACACGAATGCAGCGCTTCAGGCGGCATGACAAGGGCCGACCTTCACACGGCGTCGCTCCGTGCGCAGCTGCCAGTGCTAGTAGCCATCAGGTGGCCAGCGCGACTGGCGCAGTTGGCGGCCAGCTGGTGCGGGGCAATCCCCAGCCAAGCATGCCAGCTGGCTGGGCCGTGGCGGTGTGCGTGAAATCCTCCCACGCACTGCTGCCGCCTAACACGCAAGGCTGTCCCGCTGCCGGCTGCCGTCTTAGGTTGGCAATCTAGTGGTGGCACCGGAGGACACACTGTTTGGCCTGGAGAACGACCCCGGCCGCGCCATCTCCCGCGACACGGTGAGGCGGGCGGTCAGCGGACAGGGCTGCTGCATACTGCACGCACGCGCCGCTGCTGCGGTGCGTGTGGGTGAGTTGCCCCGCTATGAGTCGACGCGAGCACGCTTCTCGGCGTTTTGCATGCACCCGGCTCACTGCTGCATGGCTGCCGTCTCTTGCACCCACACGCTTTGAAAGGTGGCCCAGGTGCTGGTGGCGGCACTGCAGCAGGGCGCAGCTGCTGACAAGGTTCTGGAGATCGTGGCCAGCCCCACCGCGCCTGAGCTGCCGCGGGACAAATGGTTTGCAGTGTGATGTGTGAACATCTGAATGCTGCGCTGTTTTTTTACTTTCTGGCCGCTTTGCTCAATTTAGGCGGGACATTTGGTTGGGAATGCACAGTGTGCAACGTTGCGGAAAGAGGCGCACGCGCACGCTTTCGGGGGGCCTGCTGGGTTGTTGGGGAAGGCTCTAGCCCCAGCTGCACTCCAGCGTTGCATTTTCGGTGGTGAGTCAATGTGCGTCAGGCAGCTTTGGCGAGCAACAGTACAGGAAGCGCTGCCTGCGCTAGCAAATTCTGTTTCACAGAACGCAAGGCAACACGCAGATGAGCGAGCAACTGTTGGGAAGGAGGATGATGCTTGCGCTGCCCGCAAACAGCGTGTGGCTGGGCGCGCTTGCCTTGCTGCCTCCAAGGACTACTGCTGCTTTGTGCTTTCTCAAGAAAACTGATCATACACACCTTGACATGATTTGCGTGGCTGGACAAAAAACCAATGGCACCCAAGCACGCGTTGCCTTGCAAATTACTAGCAGCAGCCCGTCAACAGGTCTCGTGTGTGATGAGGCTTGGCGCTTTGCACGTCCTCCCAGCCCTGCATCAATCGCTAGGCCAGGCCAGCAAACTACTAGCAGCAGACCGTCAACAGGTCTCGTGTGTGATGATGCTTGGCGCTTTGCACGTCCTCCCAGCCCTGCATCAATCGCTAGGCCAGGCCAGCAACAGCCAAGGCAGTCAAAAATGACACCGCACCAAAGCATGCCCAAACAGCACGGCCTCATCTAGCCAGAGCGCCCATTACTGCCGCCCCATAGGCCGCAGGTGGCAGCCCAGCAGCCCCCGCCCCGACCACCGCTGCGGCGTCAGCTTCAGGGCGACGGGTGCGCCCTGCCGCAGGAACAGCGCCTCCACCTCACGCCCCTCGTTGGCCTGCAGCGCCGCCGCCACGCGCTGCAGCTCGTCTCCGGCCTGCGGGCCGAGGGACACGCCGGCAAAGCTGCACAGCTGGTCGCCCTGTTGATTGAGGTGGGGCGGAAATGAACATCGGACACAAAGCAGGTTAGGGCATAATAAGCTGGATCGTCGCAGCCATGACAGCACAGCACTGCGAACGCCTCAACCGCAGCTGGCATGTGGTATCACACATCGATGAGGTCAAACGCCAACTATTGAACGGCACCCTCCACCCGCTGCCTACCAGCTGTATGCCTGCTGCGCAGGCTGGCGAGTCATCAGCGACATCGTCCACCACTGCAAACGGCCGCAGCGGCCGCCTCCCCGCCGCTACTGGTGCGCCCGCAGCGTTGCGTATGCCTGCCACCGGCGCGTTTGCCTGATGTTGCTGGCTGGGCTCGCCGCCGCTGGCCCCATTGGCCGCCGCACTGCCCTCGGCCGAGCGCCCATTGGCCGCACACCCCTCCCTGATTACGTCGTCGGTTTGTTTAGGCGCAAGATAGTACGTGTTGCGGTCAATGCACCAAAATGGCAGTTCCAATCAAAGGCCACTGCTTCGATGTACCTCCCTGCGCCAGGCCCCGCCTACTGACCACCTGCTGGGCGACTGATTCCAGAGCGCCTGGCCGGACCCAAGCCGCACCTGGCCGCTGCATGAAGCTGGTGCATGAGCCTCTCAATGCGCATCATGATATCTTTGTGGTCGTTTGTGAGGCAGATCACGCGGTTGCGATCGACGCGCGCCGCATGCACATCGATGTCGGCGCATGGGTAGCCCTGCGGGGCGTGAGCGTGATGGTGAGGCGCACTATGTCTGTGTGGCCTATGGGGGCTGCCTAGCTGTCTGGCTGGCTAGCTGGCTGGCTGCCCGGCTGGTGGCTGGCCTCAAGTTGCCTTATGAGCCACAGGTGGCACCAGAGTTTGGGCAAGTCCACATGCCTGCCGCCTTTGCTTCGTTTGCTGGAGCTGCATGGCTGAACAGCAGCCTACCCATATGTACGCCAACGGTGGTCGAGCTGTCTACCATCCCCTCCCACCTCCGCATCAATAAGCGGTCGATCCATCCCAGGGCCGCCTGGTGCATCAAGGCGCGCCATTCGCTCAGCGATCTCGCGCTCTGCCGCCTCCTTCTGCCCAATCAGCGCCCTAATCTCAAGTGTAAGGTCTGTTGTCATTGATGCTGTGTATGTGAGCAGAGACGCCTTGCACTCTTTCAGCCTCCCTATAAAACTAAAGTGAGTGCTCGCGATCTACCGTACCGTACGCAGTCCTGCGCAGCGGCGACCGGTTTTACCATCGCAGCAGTAGTAAAACGTTCCGGAGTTCGTGACAAACGAGCAAATAAACTGAAATGGTGCAGGTACGGTAGTGCCACGACGGAGCGACGATGACGAGGGGCGATGAGAGTGTACTGTTGAACTGAAGCACTGCTACATGCTTCAGTGTGCACAGGGAGCGCCGCCTTGGCGGACTGTGCGCCGACCACGCGGAACGGTAACTTGCATATCAACAACCCCATCCCATGCTATATCACTCGTGCTCGCTCGCTGCATGCAGCGCCACAGCTTCAATAG